CTTCTCGCTTGTGGAACTTCTTTCCGGCCCCACGCTTTCCAGCCAAAAATTTAAATGCAATGTCAATCGCTATCTACTATCCTTCTGATTACTCTTTTCTTTTTTCGCTCATTATCAATGTTTATTTTCCTAATTATTCCCCACCCGGTAAACCCTTGTCTTTTAGTGGCATTAACTTGGGGTGATTCTGATTTTTTTTAAAAATGTCCTCCACCCACCCAACAAGCAAAAATAAGCAATCTAAATGTCGTGACCATAGATCAGTCATAGTGTTAGCCGTAAAAAATAAATAATTAAAAAAAACTGTGATGGGACGGATTTCTTTTTCTAACACTTCCTTTAAATCTTCAGTGACTTATTTATCCATCCGATTAAAGGAATAGCGGGAGTTGATTTGAACATTACCATTTACCGACCTTTTCCCGAAGGTGTGACACAATGTTATTTTAAGGTGGGATGCCTATACGTGTATATATGGAGCAGAAAGTAAAATTTCTGTGACCACTATCACACTGGCATTCGTATCCACTAATAATCCATCATTAGTTCAACAGGGGAGGTACTGTCATGGGTTTGCAATTCCCTAGAATTGGTATCCTTCATATTTTTAGAAGGAAGAGAAGATGGATACAGTTCGTTCATCCCAACAAGAAAACCAGAAGTTTCATGCAGAGCGCTCTCTCTCTCTCTCTCTCTCTCTCTATATATATATATATATATATATATATATATATATATATATGTGTGTGTGTGTGTGTGTGTGTGCGCGCGTTTGCGTTTGAGATTGAAGACCACGTGCATATTTCTTTTTATATTTTTTTATTTAATTTTTATTCTTTTCTTTTTAACTATTTTATTTTATTGAAAATGTAAGATTATGTATTTATTTCCCGGGAAAATCGTAAGAGTTCAGTTCAGTTTTTATTTTTTAACTTTTAGCGTCGTTACATTCATTTTCTCGAAAATACCATTGAGAAAGGTATGAAACCATCTCTTTATATTTAAATGCTAGGACTCACATCTGGAAAAATTATACATATACACACACACACACACACACATATATATATATATATATATATATATATATATATATATATATATATATATCCATATCTAGTCAGACAGACAGATTGTTTCGCTGTATTACAGCTCATCAGTGTGGCTAGACATCCGGTTGCCTCTACCTATGATCGAAATCCGACTGAATTGGTGTCAGTCGGTGATTCTACCACTAAGCCGTTGGCGCAAAAGTTGTAGCTTCTCTCTGTCATCGAACTCGCCCTAGGGTTTTTGAGAGAGCCACCCCCGCCCCTACACCATAACTATATTCTGAAACTACATTACCCAGAGTACTTGGATAAGTATATTTCATTTTGACCAAATGGGGTCCCCCCCAACACACACACTGAATTTTTTCCCCTTTGATTTAAATTAAATTTAAATTTGAACAAGTGAATGACTACTAGGTACCTTGGATAAGTATATTTCATTTTGATTAAAGAGGGTGCATGAGAGGCCAGAAGATCGGCAAGATCATTGAGTAATATTGGAATGCACCAATTTTCTGCATAAATTGTAACAATGATTTAAAATTAATCATCATTTTCTTAAAAAAATATGTGTGATACGCAGCAAGGCTTGGGTTATTCGGCTAGTCATTGATATTTAAAAAATAATGTTAATGAAATATTCATTCGCAAAAAAAAAAAATCTTTTCTTCTTCTTCTTCTTCTCCACCTCCTCCACCACCTCCTCCTCTCCCTTCTTCTTCTCCACCTCCTCCTCCACCCCTCCTCCTCCCTTCTCCTCCTCCTCCTTCTCCTCCATCTCCTCCTCCTCCACCACACCACCTCCTCCTCCCTCCCCTCCTTCTTCTTCTTCTTCCTTCTTTACCTCCACCTCCTCCTCCACCACCTCCTCCTCCACCACCTCCTCTCCTTCTTCTTCTCCACCTCCCCTCCCTCCTCCTCCTTCTTCTCCACCACACCACCTCCACCTCCTCCTCCTCCTTCTTCTTCTTCTTCTTCTCCTCCTCCTCCACCACCTCCTCCTCCCACCACCACCTCCTCCCCACCCTCCTCCTCCTCCACCACCTCCTCTCCCTTCTTCTTCTCCACCTCCTCCTCCTCCTCCTTCTCCTCCTCCATCTCCTCCTCCTCCTCCTCCTTCTCCTCCCCACCTCCTCCTCCACACTTCCTCCTCCTCCTTCTTCCACCTCCTCCTCCTTCTTCCCCCACCTCCTCCTCTCCACCTTCTCTCCCTTCTTCTTCTTCACCTCCTCCTCCTCCTCCTCCTCCTCCACCACCTTCCCTCCACCACCTCCTCCTCCTCCTTCTCCTCCACCACCTCCTCCTCCACCACACCATCTCCTCCTTCTCCTTCTTCTTCTTCTTCTTCTTCTTCTTCTTCCAGAAAGTAGGCGATCACGATTCTCCACAATTTCCTGTCTTCTGTATCATTTGCAATGTTTGTCCTTTCCCTATGTCTCTTAATTCCTTTTCTGCCAACCATTTACAGAAGTTCATTATGTAAGTTATTCGCTGCATTCTTTTTGACTTTAATATGTCTTGGGAGTGTTAAATTTTCCAAGCCTCCTTTCCTCATTATGTTCCCTAGAAATGTATACTGTCTCTTTCCGATGTTACTTCTGGTCCTTTTTGTTTCCATTTTCTCGAAAACTTCGTCATTGCTCGCATGTTCAGTCCATGGTATTCTCAGCATCCTTCTGTAGAACCACATTTCTATTGCCTCTGCTCTCTTCTCCATATCTGGTGCAATGGTCCAGCATTCATTTTCCATATTGGAGGACTAATATTACGTAACATCTCAGTACTTATTTATTTTTTTTCTAACGAAATATTCTTGTTCCATAATACTTTGCTTAACTTTTGGAAGACATCTTTTTCTGTTGTAATGCGCTTTCGTATTTCGGCATCGAAGTTTTCGTCCTCCGTTCAAACAATTCCTAGATACTTAATTTTTTGTACTTGCTTGATTTCGGTATCTGCAATTTGTATATTCGTATGTTAAAATATTTCTTTTGCTTCTTCCTACAATTGGTGGTTAGTCCTTTCTTCCGGCTTTCCTTCACTGCCTTCTGTAGGATTATCCGTAGTTTAGTATATTCGGCTTTAATTAGGGTTGATAAGGTTTAAAAACTAAAATCACCCAATCAATAGCACACACCGAGCCACTATTGAAAAATGCTTTACATCTTAACGATCATTGCCACTATTGAAAAATCCGGATATTTATATATATAATATATATATATATATTGGGGGTGCAATTCAGGCCTGAAATATAGCATGAAACAGACTTGAAAATGTTCAATATCACGGATATATATATCCCATAAATATAGCACACTAAATATAGCACTCCTAAGACTATATTGCTATATATATATATATATATATATATATATATATATATATATATAGTGACTTGTAGAAAGAATAGGGCGATTAAATAAAAAATCAATTCTCAGAAGAAATATTTCCATGATTTCAAATCAAATACGCAAAAAGACGATTTACTTCCAAAATTAAAACACAAACGCATTCTGTATATGTGCATATGTTTTTGCGTGTTTGTATGTGCATTAAGATGATAACTTTTTTTAACCCCAGATTTTTGCATCATAATCAATGTGGTCCTCCTGGGTATAACGATAAACTATAACCGGCAGCAACGCCTCTGATCGGGAGATTGGAGATTTTGTGGAGCGTAGAACCATCTCTTAATTGCTGTTATTCCCAAGTTCACCCAGGAGTGGTAGCACCTGTTAGGGCCCGAGCTATGGGTAAATAGTTAACTCCTAAACTGGGTTCAAAACACTATGAAAGTGTAGAAATACATTTTTATAGTGAAGGTGCTAGCAATACATTTTCATAGTAACAAAAAAATTACCAACAATATAATTTTGTAAATGAAATTACAAAATTACCAAAAAAAATTAAATTTCAGCATTAAATGACCCATAAAGTGTTGATATGCCGTTTGACAAACACGCCAAACAAAACAAACATAAATAGATGAACATTTTGTTCAAAAGTAATTAAAAAAAAGTACTATTTTGTTGTAGTTCATGAAAAAGGTCACCTCCAAACCGAAAATTTGATTTTACCATATACGTAATAAGGGTAAAGAATCAAAACGTGTCAGTAGCTTTATTTCTCAATTGGCTAATGATGCAGTAGGATAGTACTTATGTATTTTGGAAACGCATTTAACAGTTTATAGCATACAAACTTACAAATAAACAAAAACAAGTTCAAGAAGTTTCCATAAATCTCTAGAAGTCTCCAGAATGTAATAATACTACTATACTTATATGCTATTTTAGAAATTTCATGTTGGGGTGACATTTTAAAAAATAAACTGAATTAAACCCTTCTTCATTTTTTTTTTTTAAAATTTCATCGAATTATGATACAGGAAATCAATTATTTAGTCGAAACCCGAATTAGCATGTATTTATTTATTTATCTATTTATTCAGAAATTGGTAAATGTGTGTGTGCTTGTGTGTGTATGTTATGTGTGTGTGCTTGTGTGTGTATGTTGTGTGTGTATGTGTATGTGAGTGTGTGCATGAAAGAGATAAAAGAAACGAGAGAGAGAGAGAGAGAGAGAGAGCTCACGATAAGACGAGAGACAGAGAGGGAGAGAGAGTGTGGCTCTCTATACTAGGCTGGCATGTCCTGCGGCGCAACAACCATTAGGCTTGGCCTATTGCCACAATGTAGTAAATAGTTCGTTCAAATTTGTGACGGAGTTGTACAAATTTAACTTCCATCCTTCCCTGTCGCCATCTAATCTGCAAACCAGAGAAAGTAATTCATTTGAAAAATGCTGTTATATGCACTTTTCCATTAGTTTAAGAAAAAATATAGTTCATATTAGCAAAAGTATCTAACGAAGACTAATTGCCTGTGTGCGTTTCTCTCCCTGGAATCGTAAACTGAAACAGAATTTCTCTCCTAACCAAATGAATCATAAACTGAAACAGAAAAAGGATTTAAACAGAAAATGTAAAGAAAAAAGAAAAGAGACTAGTAACCAAATGTAGTAGAAGAAAAGAAGTAAAAGATTATTCCAGAATATAATTAGAAATTGAACAGAAAGGAAAATAGAAATGAATAAGGAAGGAAACAAAGAAAGGAAAGAAGAAAGGAAAGAGAATTTGTTAAACAGAAAGAAAGAAAAGAAAAGAAAGAAAGAAAGAAAGAAAGAAAGAAAGAAAGAAAGAAAGAAAGAAAAGATTATTCCAGGAAAAATAGAGAATGTAATCAGCAACTGAACAGAAAGAAAGAAAGAAAGAGAGAGAGAGAGAGAGAAAGAAAGATAGTTAACAATTAGAGGAAAGAATGAGATGTTGTTTAACAGAGAAAGAAAGAAAGAAAGAAAGAAAGAAAGAAAGAAAGAAAGAAAGAAAGAAAGAAAGAAAAGATAAGGGGAAGAAAAAAGAGAAAGAATAATTCCAGTAAATAAGAAAGAAAAGAAAGAAAAAGAAAGAAAGAAAGAAAGAAAAAAGAAAGAAAAAGAAAGAAAAAAATGAAATGTAATAAGAAATAAAGAAAGGTAGGAGAATGTAATAAGAAAGAAAGAAAGAAAGAAAGAAACAAAGAAAAGAAAGAAAGAAAAGAAAGATACTTTCAGAAAAGAAATATTGTTAAACAAAAAATGAAAGAAAGAAAAAGAAAAAAAAAAAAAATTATTCTGGGAAATGAAAAAAGAAAGAAAGTAATCAAGAAATAAAAGAAAGAAAGATAGTTAACAAAAGGAAAGAATGAGATGTTGTTTAAAAAGGAAGATACAAAAAAGAAAAGAAAAAGAAAGAAAAAAAAAAATAGAGAATGTAATAAGGAAAATGTAAAAAAAAAAGAATATTTGAATGGAAGACTGAATGAAATGAAATGGGAAAGGAAAAATATGTAATCAGAAACAAAAAGAAAAAAGGAAGATACAAAAGCAAGAGAAAAGAAAAAAAAGAATTTTAATGGAAGACTGAATGAAAATGAAATATTTTATTTTTTATCTTCCTAAAAGATAATTTGTGTTAAATATTCTTTTAAAATCCATAAAAGAAGGGACGGAACAAGAATTATATAAAAAGAAAAAAGAAATTGGATAAATTAGATAAGAAAAAATTCGTAGCAGACGACAATCCAAGCCTGTTCATCTTGACAAAAAAATCTGTGTTAAAAAAGCATCTTTTGCACCAGAACACACGTTTAGCCTAGAAACGGATGATGGTGAAGTTAACGGGCCCAAAGATGCTAAGTTCCAAAAGACTTCCCTCCCCGACGCGTGTATATAAATATACGACGGGGTGCTGAAAATTTTACGTCCCGATCGAGGTGAATAAATGATATTTATGAAGGTACAACATCATATTCCACACTCCAATGTGAACCAAATTTGTCACATCGTTTTTTGAGTTTTTTTTAACCCTTTCTTGTCATCTGTTTTTATGGTAAGCGCAGAAGGAAAACTACAGGACGTCCTCGAAAATGTAGTAAAGGAAAGCAAGAAGAAAGGACTAACCATCAATTGTAATGAGACAGAAAGCACGGTTGACAGCAAAGGAAATAAAAAAGCCAAAATGCGATTTAAGAATTGGAGATAAGAATATCAAACAAGTACAGTAATTAAAAGTACAAAAGATGGAAAATGTGACACTGAGCTTCGAAAGCACATTGGAATAATATACAATGAAACAAGGATATTTCATTAGAATGAAAGAAGAACATTTTGAAATGTTATACGATATCAATCTTCCGATATAGCAGTAAATGCTGGACAATTTCTTCACAAACAAAGGGAATGATACTTATACATTGAATTAGAAAGAGACATCAAATATGATTTGGACACATAATGAGGAAAGACGACTTGGAGAATTTCATACTCACAGGATATATCGAAGGCCAAAGGGAAAGGTGGAGCAAATGGAGTGAATGGATGCCAGAAAGCGACGAAAAAAAAAGATGAACGTTTCTAATCTATCTACAATAAAATCCAGCACATCGACAGAATGTTTTGTGTGACGGAGACTGGGTTTTGAATCAGCCGGCTTTGAAAGGGAGAGTTTGCAAATTAAAATTAGTTCATATTATTTTAATAGTGGGGACGTGCAAATGAATTTTCTGGGTGGGGGTCAACCTCACCAAGACCCCCACCTTAGCGACGGGCCTGAAGTAGATTCTAATAGAAAAAACATGTTTGGCCCAATTTCCACCCGATTTTGCACGTATATCGTTTGACATACAAAACATTATCATCAGTTTATTGCTTGGTCAAACCGCCAAAGTTGGCCAAAAGAGTTATCATATTTAATGGCAAAAACGTTTTATACAGCGAAACAAATACCTCTAAATATGGTCGTCGTCATTTTAATATTATTATTATTATTATTATTTTCTTTGATTTCTGGCGTTTACACATTTCTTTCCGGGTCCCGTCCAGGGACCTAAGGTTAGAAATGGCATCATGATGCTTTCCACTGACAAAAAAAAAAAAATATTACATAGATAAAGCCCTTTGTAAAGTGTGGGCTGTACTTGTCAGAACAATTTTTTGTATCTCCTTGAGGCATGGACTTCCAGGAATCCTTCCAATTAGTCTACTGCAATCTTTTCCAACTAGTCCTAGGGCTCCAACTACAACAGGGTTTGTTGATGTTCCCATATGCCACATTTTCGGGATTTCTATTTCAAGGTCCTTGTATTTTGACAGCCTTTTTGAATATCTTCAAAGATACATTGCAGTCAGCAGGGACTGCCATATCAACAAGGAGGCACCGTTTTTGTTTGTGGTCTTTAATAACAATATCTGGGCGGTTGACTTTGATTGTTCTGTCAGTGTGTATTGTGTAGTCCCATAGAATTGTAACAGGTCCTATCTCCGTAACCGGGTCTGGGTGGTGTTCATACCAGTTTCTTTCAGTTTTCTTCCCGTAGAAGTTGCAGATTTTCCAGTGCAGATATTGGCGCACTCTGTCATGCCGGGTTTTATATTCAGTGGGTGCTAATATCGTGCAACCTGATACAAGATGATCAATCGTTTCTGGATATTTATCACAGATTCTGCATTTTGGCCTAACACAATATTTTAGTATATGTGCTTGATAATTCCTAGTTAGCAAGCATTGGTCCTGTGCAGCTAGGATAAAACCTTCAGCTTTCAACTCTGCACTACGTAGCCACTGATGGGTACGGGTTTTGTCTACGTCAGCTTGTTTGGTACGGACAGAGTATTGGCCATGAAGCGGTTTATCTTGCCATCGCTTCTGTATCTGGTCGGTTGCATTCGTCTTTGCTGTCTTTTTTAGGTAGTTTGCAGTTTCAGCCGGTGTATTGTGCTGTAGTTGCATCTCTACGCCCATTTGAAACTCCATGAGCTATGGAAGCTTACTTATTATTATTATTATTATTATTATTATTATTATTATTATTATTATTATTATTATTATTATTATTTTCTTCCTCTTCTTCTTATTCGTCTTTTTCTTCTTACTAATCTGCATTGTCTTCAAAGTAAAACTTTGCTTGAAGTAAAGAATAGCACCCTCGGAACACCCCCACACACACACACACACACACACACACACACACACACACACACATATATATATATATATATATATATATATATATATATAAATTTTCATTCTACAATTCTATCGTGTGAATCAAATTATTTTCACCCTTTATCGTCGAAAACGTTAAATATAACTTTAGACAATTTCACAAAATTGGAATGTTCCCATTTTGGTGCTTTCCGATTTCCATTAATTTTCGACCGGTTTATTCTCTAGCCAATTCCAACTGAACGTGATAGGTGCAATTCTGTTTAAAACTCAGACTTGTAGCTACATAACAAACAAACAAACAAAAACAAAAAAAAAAACAAAAAACAACTAAATTTAATTTCCTCAATTTAATTAAGCATTTCGTTGTTTTTCCATAGTTTTTTTTTGTTCTTGTAAAAAATAAAGCAAAATACAATTAATAGAATCCATGACCTCAGGTTTGAGGCTATAATCTCCGAGCACATTCTGCGGGGGCAAGACAAATTTACAGTTTCCAAAATTGGAGAATTGTAATTCGATATAAGGTTTACTGATGCTATTAAAAGTGTAAAACATATCATGATACCGGAAGGAAGTCAGTGCCTGGGCTAAGCATGGGTTGTGGTGGTATGACACATCATTATAACTATGTTCCAAGGGAAAAGTAGTTCTGATCCAATCAAAAAGTGGTCATTTTTTCATGTAATATGACATCAATGAATAATGATAATAATAATATGTCAATATATATATATATATATATGTGTGTGCGTGTGTGTGTGTGCGTGGATCTGTGAAAGGATGAATGGATGGGAAATTGAAAATAGGAAAAGAAATTGCAATAGGCCTGAGAATGAAGGAAAGAAATGCTGTTAGAGAAAGGTGATGGCTTCCGATGGAAATAAAGGAAAGAAATTTGTTATGAAGAAAGATTTATAATAAGAGAGAAAGAATGAAACACGAAACGACCGGAAGACAAAAGTCAATAGAAGAAAGAAAGAAAGAAAGAAAGAAAGAAAGAAAGAAAAAGAAAGAAAGAAATAGAGAAAAAAAGAAAGAAAGAAAGAAAGAGAGAAAAAAAGAAAGAAAGAAAAGAAGGAAATGAATAAAAAATAATGTCAGAAGGATCATAGAATGTAACAAAGAAAGTAAAAAAGAAAGAAGCAACTGAATAGAAAAGTAATGTTAGTATTATAGACCGTAAAGAAGAAAGAAAGTATGAATAGGTAAACGAAGGAAAAATGACACCGTAAAAGAGAATAAACAAACAAAACAAGTAGAAATTTACATTCTAAAAAAGAAACTTAAGAAAAACACAAATATAATAGATTAAAAAAAAAACAAGTATGCTTTACATTCTAAAAAAAAATCTCCCAGTAAAAAAAAAAAAAAAACTATGCGGTAAAAAAAAGCAGACAGAAAAATTTATTTAGCTATCATGATTCATCTACAAACTCAACAATCATCGTAGATGTTCGAAATATTTGCCTGAATGTTCAACACAAAGTTGTAAGATTGATAATCAGCCGCAGTAGGTTTATTCAGGGCCGTGAATATTCAAGAAATTTATTTTAGGTTATTCAAGGTCAATTATTCCGGAAAGATAAAAAAAAAAGTGATAATAAATTTGTTGCTTTTTTACTGGGCCAACTGTATAATAGCAATCATGCAAACTACGTAGGTACTGGTAACTTTTCGGCGTTCCCATGAAAAATAACTTAAACTTATTAAACTATTCAATATGTACTTCAACACGCTGTCTTTCGCCCTTCCAAATAATATCCTAATATTTCGTCATTGAAATACTGATTTGCGGAAGTGCGTCTGGCTGAGAGCTGTTAAACACCGGCTCGGATTTCTCCAGAGTGTTTTCCTAAACACAGAGAAAGACGAAGTATAATTATTAGCTAAATAATAGTCAGTAAGAAACTGTATCGATTTATAATCAATCGTCTGTCATCCATTAACATGTGGTAACATGATCAGCTCAATGGTGGCGGTTGCAGGGTCATCTTCAAAACTTCCTCTTCCCACTTTAAATTTAGCTGCTCACTTTTACACTGTTGATAAAGCTGGAGTATTATCTCTTAATGCAGCAAACATGTCAGTATGAATGTCCTTGGGGGCTAAACCAATTTTCCCGCGTGTAATTGATAACAACACAATGCCAAATTTTGTCAAGTTTCAAAAGAAGTCGCTATAAGATACTTTTTAGGTCTTCTTTGAACAATCAGTTGCCAGTTTACCTGGAAAAAAAGTAATGATGAATAAGAAGAGTTGAAATGAATGTATGTCTGATTTCACAGCTGTAACATCACTCCTTCATAGTCAGCCCACAAACTCGATTAATGTTTAGCTATAGGTTCAAGTACTGAGTCCACGAATGCTTTACCTACTGCCTCAAGTATAAACCTTACCAGTGTTTGCTACTGGACACAATTATGAAAACGCACAAATTTTACCTAAAGCCTCAAGTACAGCCCCGACTAATGTTTACCAATATCCTCAAGTATACATCAGAAAATTATAAACTCGACTAATATTTGTCTATAGATTCAATTTTAAAGACCGCGAATGTTTCATCTATAGCCTCAGGCATAAACACAGTCAGTTTTTATTTGTAGACTTTTGTTTAACAACTACAAATGTTTAACGGTTGATTCAAGTATAATGAAAAACAGATTTCGATCAGATAACCGCAAAAATGTTTATTGGTCGTAAAATCTACGAACACAACTGTTTTTTTTCTTCTTCGTCTTCTTCTTCATCGTGTTGTTGTTGTTCTTCTTCTTCTTCGTCTTCTTCTTCATCTTGTTGTTGTTGTTCTTCTTCTTCTTATTATTATTATTATTTTCCTTCTACTACTACTCCCCATCTTTTATATACTTCCTCTCCTATTCTTCCATTGTATTACTTCCCTGCTTTTTCTATTTCTTATACTTTGCTTCTTGTTCTATTTCATTTTCAATTTCATCTATTTCCTCTTCTCCTAATTTCTTTCCCGTTCTTTTATTTTCCCTTTATTACTTTCCCCCTCCCTTTTTGTGCTGTTACTATTGATGTCGTTGTGTCTGTTCTTCTTCTCCCCCTCCTTTCTTTTTCATATTTCTATATCTTTCCGCGAAAATTCCTACTTCCATCTCGACCACCATGTTTGCCATTTCCTTCTCTTTTTGTATTTAAAGGGTTTTTTTTAAATGCAAATCACCTTTTCCAAAAAAAAAAAAAAAAAAAAAAAATTTTTGCACGTGTACATAGATAGGGATCAAACAATATCTCATGGCAATGCCTATATAATAACCATGCCTTTCAAATGTATTAATAGCTTTACCGGTCCCCACCTTTATCCCTCTTGACGACTTCGCCAGGTTCAGGAATTTTAAAGATATTTAACTACTCTGCGTTTAAATTTCAAAGGCATTCAGAGATTTATTAGTACGTTTTTTGTCTCATTTAAATGTTGTTATATATGAAATCTCTTTCACTAAAAAAAAAGAAATTAAAAAATCAGACCATATCAGGTAGCTGACTTCAAAAGAGTATATTAAATATGTTTCGATATAGTTTCATCCTACATGGTGTTGGATCTTGGCGATAGTTCTGGTGTCTATAGCTACATACTACAGATTAAACCTATCGAATACGTGAAGAAGTAAAACAAGGAATTTGAAAACCTATATTTTAAAATATATAAGGTAAACTGCCCAAGGGAATCATTTGATTTTATCCAAATTGTTGCATTTATGATGTCTTCGGAAGACAATGAAATATGCAATTATCTTATAATTAACTTTAGGAAATGAAGAGTTTTTTTAATCGTGTGAAATGTATAAATATGATTTATATATATATATATATATATATATATATATATATATATATATATATATATATATATATATATATTTTATACGTTCTTTTTACAGATAAAAAATGTCTTAAAATAATTGTCGAACTTTGTCCATTTCATAATATATATATGTATATATCAGAAATATGTTGAGAAATTGAATGACAAAATGGAATAATTTTTATGTAACACGTTTCATCCTCTAAAAAGACTTCATCAGAATAAGAGGGTGGGCTGAAGAGTTCATAGGTTGATTATGAAGGAATGATGCTATACCTGTGAAAACTTGCATGTTCTTATGAAATATATTTATGTGTCTTCTGCACTATATTTGCCTCCAATTGCATGCAACATTTTGCATTTCTTAGCAAACCTTCTGTTGTTGCAGTGTGGAATATTTAAAAGCATCTAAAAGTAAGCTCCTAAAAAAAGCCATACCTAATGTTTAAACTGTATTTTATAAATGGAAAACCTTTCTTGAAGCTTTTATTTTAGTTTTAAGTACAAGCTAATAGATTAAATTTAATATTTCCAGAGTGGCAAACCACTCACATTCCATCCGTATCCCACCGGGGCGAGGAGAATGTTCCATACAAACAACTTCTTTCCGCAAACCACTGCTCTGTGGAATCGACTCCCAACAGGATGTTTCCACAATCACTAAAATTTTAACTTGTTCAAGGTTATGGTTAACATACCTCTCCCGATGGCATCCAAACGTTACCATAGAGTTAAAAAAAAGAAAAGAAAATTACTTGGTTTTATTTCAAACCGTATTTAAAATGATTGGAATAGTTATTTTTTGAAAACGCTAAAATCGGCCATATTGGAAAATCTCACAATCCAACATAATTCTCATTATTAAAAAAATCTTTCACAAATAAAATATACTTTTCTGAAACTTTATTTGAGAAGTTTAATCGACTTAGTGCTTAATTAATTTGAATACAAAAAAATGTTTTCTTTTGTAATGTTATCCGGGGTGGTTATTGAAATAATAACTAGAAATGCAACTTAAAAGCATAAGCGTTTATTTTAAACAAGAAAAATACAACTAGATATTTACAAGTTCGTCTTAAGATATAAATTAAGCCGGTATTTACCCGACCTCCCAACGGGGTAGGATATGGCACATGGCCAATTTTTATGTGGGGCGATACGAGCCCGTAGGCTCGGGCAAAAAATTCCTAGTGTAGACCGCGCAAACACGGGATCTGTTTGTCTATCTCCCCAGATGAATCTCTGCCCTTCGGCATAGACACGTCCGGGATCCTTTTTACCCGAAAGCAGATTTCGACGTCCTGTGGTTTGCTCAAACCTATGCTGGAAAGCAAGCACCCGACCCCCTTGAGGCTAACATCATAGATACTTATATTCCTACTGGAAAAGTCCATTTTATAGAGGTGTATGTATTCTTTGTATAGAGAGAATTATCAATTCGTTCCTTACAGCACCTCCACCTCGAGGTTATTTTCCTCGGAAAATTAATATCTTTTTTGGGGGGGATCTGGACTCAAGGGTTTCGTTGTCTGGTTCGTCTTGGGATTACAATTTCTGTAGCTGATGGAGCTGGAATGTCGAAAATATCAAAGTAGATCCATCGGTACTGCCTTTCGTGAAGTCATATCCTCAGTGAATTTGGGTCTCAGTTGATTTATGTGTCTTTTTTGCGTCCATTTTGCACTTCGAACCAATGTATATTATTCTTCCATCTCTTTTAGTAATGATACCGTTTTCCCCAAATTCTCATCCTCTTTTAAACATCTCGAGGAAAACTTTATCTCCAAGCCTGAAATATTTAGTAAGGCTTCTGGTGTCATTTGAACTTTTGTTTTCGTCCTGGCAATGGTTTATAGAACACCGATTTTATTTTTGGGCAAACATCAGCTACTCTTGTGCGATCCCTGATACTGCATTTGGATTCGGTGTTATTCTTTACAAACTCAAAAATTGTTGATTTCAACGCTCTTCTGTTTCCATTCCTTAAGGACTTTTTAAGAGCTCTCTTGAATGTATCGACAAACCTGTCGAGCTGCCTGTTGGATCTTAGATGGTATGGAGAGGTAGTGGTATGTTCAATCGCCAGGGATTTTGAAAAAAATTTTGAAATCACTCCCCCATGAATTGTGCTGCCATTGGCAATCGTTTCGGGGACACCAAAACGAGCGAAAAGCTCCTGAAGAAAACTTATCGTAAAGTCGAAGTAGATCTTCTGCATTTGAATACCTCGGGCCATTTTGTGTAGCTGTCAACAACTACGAGATAATATGAGCCATTTAATTGTCCCGCAAAATCTATGAGTTGCCTGGACTATGGCCTATCCGTTTTGTGCCATGATTGAAATTTCATTGGTGGGGATTTTTGTCGCAAGAGCACAATCAATGCAGGTTTTCAATACATTCTCAATATCCTGGTCCATCCGTGGCCAATATATTTATATAAATTCTCAGAGATTTCATACGCGATATTCCCGGGTGACCTAAATGAAATTCCTTCAAAATCCTTTGTTGAAGAGAAAAAGATATTACTACTCTATGCGTGTACATTAGTACTTTTCACATATTGAGAATGGTGTATTTCCAGCAATTGTATTATTTTTCTTCTTTAGTTGTATTTGTTTGTTTTTTTTTTCATTTTTATAATGAAATAATCTTTTTCAGGCTTAATGTTAATTTCATCCAATATTACGAGTAATTCTCGTACTGTCTTACATAGTTCATCTTTTAATTCCTTCTTGGCTCTTAAGGCTACTATCTGTTGTGGTAGGATCCACCTAATTTGCATAGTGGAGTACCGACCATATAAATATGGTTGGTAGCGGGAAGAGAGGGAGGAATCAAGAGATTCAACCAGAGACTCTGCCCGACTGCGACTCAGTCAACACATTCTCCAGGAACGGTCTTACCAGGAATATACAAAAGACTATATGTAAATATTGTGTACACTTTCTTGTTTCAATACATTTTGTTCTAAGTACATTTTGCGTTGCATTATTATTCCATGCATTAGTCAAGTTTCAACACTATCACTGTGTCTTTCAGTGGTTCAGAAAAAGATGGAATCAACCTAGCCAGACCATGCCTTGTTTTCTTTGATGGCACAAACTACATTATATGATCATAGTTCAATAGAATAGTTCCCCAGCGCTGCACTCTGTTGGCTTCGATCGATATATGGACAACATAGGATGGTGATCTGTCTGTAACAAAAACTTTCTTACATGAATAAATTTATGGAATATTTTAAGAACAACTATTATTGTTAAACTTTCTATCTGGCTGTAATATTTTATGTCGATAGTAAAGATCTTGAAGCATGTGCCACTGTTTTTAGACTACCGTCTTCAAATTTTTGAAGAATTACTGCCCCGATGTTATACTCACTAGTGTCCGACGCCACAATAATCTCAATTTCTGGATCAAAATGTGTTAATGACAAGTCAGAGGTGGGGATATTTTTTATTGTGTCAAAGATATTCTGGCATTAACAGATCGTTTCCTTTTTACACCTACTTTTTAGTAAATTGTATAAAAGGTGGCCTTAAGATGCGCATGTTCGGTATATAAACGCCATGATAAATTGCGAGTCCTAAAAATGCTTGTAATGTAGTCATATTTGTGGAGACGGCATGCCTTTTATTGCCTCTACTCTTGAATGTTCTGATCTTCTTCCATTCTCGTCAATAATTTGTCATAGGTACTTTATCTGGGACATAAAATATTCCCACTTCTCGGGTCTAATTTTGAAACCGTATTCATTTATACTTTCGAATAGCAAAACCCAAATCAGACAACATCGATTAAATTTATACAACCACTTGTGTGTATTAATAGTCAACAATTTGGTACATTCTTCACCGACTTTTAATTTTGTAAAAATGTCCTTAGGTGCTGGTAATGGGTAGGTGTGTGCTTTCAGACAATCATTTAAGCCAGTTGAAAAATTTGCGCAGACGTGTACTTCGTGAGTTTTTTTTTATGTATCTTGTAGGAACCGCCCAGGCCGAGTATTCGACTTTTGAGAGGACATGCAATTTTTAAAGTCGCTCCAATTACTTGTTCGAAAGCTGCGAACGGCATTTTTCTTCTTGGCTTGAAAAAAGACTTCACATTTTCCTTGACTTCCAACTTTAGATTCGTCATTGTGCAACATCCAAGTCCATTTGAAAAAAAAAACTTAAGGAAACTTATCTTTCGGCTCCTTCATTAATTTTTCTGTCACCCTATTTGTGCTAGGGTGGGGACATTAATTTTATTACAAAAATAATTCATGGCTAGTGTAATGACAAAAGTACACAGGTGTAGGCTTTAAGAAAGCTTTATTCAATTGAGAATACAAGGTTCACGTATAGAGTTCTTTTATGCTATGTCTAATGTATGTCAATTTTCAGTCATCTCCTGTTCATTCCCCTCTCCAATTTCTCCACCGCCTTTAACCGGTATTGAACTCACACATGGCACATTGGATAAAGGCGTTAGTTATATCAAGTGACAGGACACAAATAGTGTAAGTTCATTACCCGGTTAAGGCAGTGGAGAACTTGGATAGGGGAATTAACAGGAGACAACTGACATCTATTAAAAAAAACATGGCACGTGGAAGTAGAACAGTCTACCCCAGTGATCGAAATAAAGCGTTCAGTTCAACATTCCAACCACCTGAAGAAGTCCTGAGCGTACAACGTCCGAAACCTTGTGATAAATATGGCAACAAAGATGAGGTTAATAGTCCAAATAATGTAAATCGTGTACATAATACCTCATCTCAGAAATATAGACAGAAAATATTTATGCAAAGTTTATACATCTTTGATTGTTTTAAATGTTAGCTAAAACTACCAACCTCTCTCGTTCATGAGCATGTGTAGTCACGACAACGTCAACAAACTCCGCCCGATGAAGTCCTAACTAATAAAACGCATCATAAACTTTTTCCATTTTGTCTTACAATTACCGCAAAAATCTTCTTCATATATAATATATATATATATATATATAATTATCTCATATATTAAAATAATAAGAAAGAACAGTAAAATTTATAATCCGGTGTTCTTAGCAGTTATTTTTATTTTTAAGTCATTATCTCATATATATATATATATATATATATATATATATATATATATATATATATATATGTGAAAATATATAGAAATAGGAAGGAACTGGTTAGGTAAATAGTCCAAAGTTCCTTAGTATTTTTGTTATTATTTTTTAAAAAATAGTGCTCGATACAAAAGTAGAGCATAAATATAATTATTTATTTAAAAATATGATTCCAAATCGCTACATAAGAGGTCTCATGTTTCAAAACTATATTGAAGTTTTCGGCTCTAGTTTTGAAACATGAGACCTCTTATGTAGCGATTTGGAATCATATTTTTAAATAAATAATTATATATATATATATATATATATATATATATATATATATATATATATACACACACACATATATATATATAGTACAAAAATACTCCAAAATTAACTTATATCAACCGGGTATTAAACGTATGACTTTAAAATGGGGTTATATGACGAATGAAGTGTTAATTTGAAGATAAGAGAATAACGAAAGAATATTTTTTAATTTAGATAGATAAAATTAAGTTTAAAAATATAAAATTCCTACTTAAAAATACTCTTCCAAAGACAAGTTATATTTTAAAAAATATGATTTTCTTTAAATAAATTAAAAATAAGTTATAAATAGATATTTAAATAATTTATATTAAATTTAGTACAATTAAATTTTTAAAAAATTGTATTTAAAAAAATTATAATTAATATAAAAACATTGGGTTATATTAAAGATTAAAAATATTTAAAAATAAAAATAGAATGAGATAAAATAAATTATACATTAGAAAAATAACTTTAAAGATAAGATACATCAAAACGAAGTTATTAGATAGATAGATAGATAGATAGATAGATAGATAGATAGATAGATTCTGTCTATATTTCTGAGATACGGTATTATGTACATTATTTACATTATTCGAACTATTGCCCGCATCTTTTTCGCCATATTTATCACAACGTTTCGGCCGTTGTACTCTCCGGCCTTCTTCAGGTGGTTGTAATCTCCTGAGCCCACCAAGCATAGAAATAAATACAATATGAGAGCCAGTAATAAGGAGTGCCAGAGAAAAGTAATGATAACAACATAGTTGCAATATGAGCTCTGGTAAAAACATGCAATGATAACAGCAAAATTGCAATATGAGCACTGGTAAAATGGTTGCTAAAGACATTAGGTTTATAATACCCAGAAATTCATACCCAGATATCCTCAGGAACACATGGCACAGTGGATAAAGGCGTTGTTTAGATCCAGTAACATGACCCAAAGAGTGTGAGTTCAAGTGTCAGAGGGAAAATTAACAGGAGATAACTGATAACTGACATCCATCAAACATGGCACGTGGAACTAGAACAGTCTACCCCAGTGAGCGAAATAAAAAGTTCAGTTCGACATTCGAACCATCTGAAGAAGACCGGAGCGTACAACGGCCGAAACGTTGTGTTAAATATGGCGAAAAAGATGAGGACAATAGTTCAAATAATGTAAATAAGATAGATAGATATTTCATGGACATGCAAGCAGTGGAGTTAAAGTTACAGGACTTACCTAGATTAAAATTATATGGCATAATTATTAAGTATGAGAGTAAAGGTTTTTTGTTTTTTAATTGTAGTTTTGGAACTTAAATTCAGTGAAAGAACGTGTAAATGGTTATAACTTGCAGCTTAAGCAGAATTTAAATTTGCTTTTCAACCTTAGTACACAGAAATATGTGTCATCGTGTGTCGATTCTGCTGTGAGAAACATTTGATAATGGATGACAAAAGCACACAAAACTCTTCCTTATCTGGGTTTGTTTCGCGTCCGTAAAAATATGAGATGTGTGTATGTGTGTTAAACATAGAAAAAATATCCTTTTTAATTTTATATAATAAATGAAAATCGTATACCGTCTTCTTAATAGTATCTGAGATGTTTCTACCTTAAATGTTCTTTTTTATTTTTAATAATCTATAAGGTTTCCTGCTGATATATATCAACAATATGCCGCCTACCGAGGCAAAGTAGGCAGTACTTATCCTGACTAAAATTCTAGATCTTTAATTATTAAATCTAAACAGTAAAAGATTTTCAACTCGTTTTAGGGTTAACGGTTTAAATAAAATGAATAATTCAATAAATTTTCATCTTAGACGTAATTATTTGTTTTTACTTTTCCATCTAGTTATAAAATAATCGGCTTATGAGCGGGTGGTGTAAACGTTAACAGGAAAGAGAAATCCAAGAGCCGAGTTCGAATTCTAGTCGCATTCCTTACATTTACCTTTGCACAAATATCATTGGGGAAATTTAAGTATATCTTCTTCCACAGATATTGGATTAATTATTAGGACAGACTTGGTTTGTTTAAATGAAGGAAAGGCTCTGAATTCTCTAATCCGACTAGATACAACTCGTTAGCTTGGGAATAAAAACCCAGACTGAAAAGCTTCTATTGCAAAGAGTACACAGGCTGGGCGTGGGGCTAATCACCCCGACCCCGTGGGGCAAATCGATGACAGTAACCTCAGCCAGTGGCTTGACATACCTTATATCACCAGGCAGATACGAGGTCTGATCAACAAGTTTGGGGGCTGATTACGGGGCTAAAGTACGCAGAAGGAAGCCGCTTTGCACAAACTGACGGTGAACGCAAGACTACTCACTTCCGTTTCCCATCACCACAAATGTCTCAGCATCAGTAACCATGGCGTGTACAGCAGTTTTTGGCCAAGGGCAACACTCCCCAGGTCCGACAACAACCATATTCCCCAGATCTCGCCCCTTGCAAACAAGATTTCAAGACGTCGATGCAATACAAGAGAATACGATGAGGTAGCAACAAGCTATCCCCCACCCACCAAAAGTGTTCCAGGGATGCTTTTATCAGCGGAAACGACACGGGGTAAAGAAGGGGACTACCTCAAAGGTGATTAAATGCATAATTGATCCGTGTTGTAGTTTTACATTATTCGGACTATTTTCCTCATCTTGGTCGCCATATTTATTACAACGTTTCGGCCGTTGTACGCTCCGGACTTCTTCAGCTGGTTGGAATGTCGAACTGAATACTTTATTTCGCTCACTGGGGTAGACTCTTCTAGTTCCACGTGCCATGTCTAATGGATGTCAGTTATCAGTTAATTCCCCTCTCAAATTCTCCACCGCCTTAACCGGGTATTGAACTCACACTCTTTGGGTCCTGTCATTGGATTAAACTAACGCCTTTATCCACTGTGTCATGTGTCCTCATGGACACATAGCACAATTAAGGCGGTGGAGAACTTGGAAAGGGGAATTAACAGGTGATAAATAATAACTGATATCTATTAGACCGGAACAGCCGAAACGTAATAAATATGGCGACAAGGATGAGGATATTAGTCCGAATAGTGTAAATAGTCTACATAATAACTCAGCTCAGAAATATAGACAGATACTCTTGTAAATTTCTTTATATATCACCGATACTTTTTGATAAGATATCATAGTATAAAACCTGTGCCAGAGATTCGTTTTCTCACATCGAGATTTCTATAAAGCAACTTTAATATATATTTTTTTTAAATAATATAGCCTAAAATTATTAAATAATAATAATAATACTTTAACATTATTTTGGTGAAAAATGGATTTTAATTCCAATTTTACGCCATAACTGCGGATGTATGTAGAAATCCATCGACTCTTCTTCCTCCGAGGCAAATTTCTGTTTAGCATTTGTTTTCACGCTTTCTGTTCTGTTTTGATAGCCTTTCTTAAATCAAGAGAAAGCCACAAAAAAAACAAAAAAAAAAACAAACAAGAAAAGGAGAGAAGCTTGTGTATATAGACAGAGAAACATTGAATGAAAGGTTTCTGGCGAGGTTGATCAGCTGTGAGTCCATGTTAATGGCAGAGCAGAAAGAACGAGCAAACGTCACGAATGAGCATCGTTGGGATAATAGAGGGCCGGCTATGATGTCACCGAGGCCGGCAGAACGGCACACACGGTGTCGAGAATAAAAATAAAGAGGGGAACGAATGGCGTAAGCGACGGTGAAACGTGCACAATAATGGTCGATGATTGGGTAGACCGCGGACTTGGAAAAATTGGCAACTGGTTACTGGGTTAGGGCAGTGGGTAAGCTGGACGACAAAAGCAAAAAATAAATCACAAAATGGTTGTGAAAAGAAAGTTTTAAGAATTGGATTGAGGACGGCAAGGGAAATTCAACATAATGACAAAAAAATATTTACAAAAATATAAACGACAAAAAGAAATAAACAATCAAATCCATAATAATAATAATAATAATAATAATAATAATAATAATCCTATTATAATTGTGCTTGTCCCGTCCTTCCTTAGTTCGTACTACCATTACGCCCTGACAATACCTCGTAAATAATGGACTATTCCGTTTTGATCGCGTGGAAGGAGGAGGAGGAGAAAAGACACTACTTGGTTTCGGTGAGAAAATGAAAGAAAAAGAGGAAGAAAGCAGCGGAGAGACAGAATTAGATTAAGGAGTTAAGAACAGAGACCACACTTTGATCTTAGCCAAAAGGCAATGTTGACAGCGATAAGAACCGTCATTTCTCGGACGCACAGTATCGAATGAGGGAACGCAGGTAAAGCAATCACCAAAAATCCTGTTACTATAAATAAAATAACACCGACTTCTGAATTATTTTAAAATTATGAGTAAGAGAAATGATCATAAGACGTGGGTTTGGATAATAATAATAATAATAATAATAATAATAATAATAATAATAATAATAGCATTAACCAGCCAACTTAACAAGACAGAATGCGGTTACAAAATAGCTCAAAAGAAAATAAACCATCTATTTTACATGGATGACTTAAAATTGTATGCTAGGAATGACAATGAGCTGGAAGGTCTTCTGCAAACTGTAAAATGCTTCAGTGAAGACATTGAATGAAATTCAATTTGGATAAATGTGCTAAAGCTACAGTTTTACGAGGATCGCTACAACAAACTTCCTCTATTAGTTTAGACCCTGCTGTAACAATAAAAGATTTAGAACAAGGAGAAGAAGTACCTAGGTGTAAATGAGAGTGAAGGAATTCACCATAAGAAAATGAAAGAAATAGTGCGTAAAGAGTACTATAGAAGGGTACGACTGGTATTAAAAACTGAATTGAATTCTCAGAACAGAATTATGGCCATTAATAACCTTGCCATCCCAGTGGTCCAATATAGTTTCAACATCTTGAACTGGACTCTAAATGACATCAGACAAATGGATTCTAAAACAAGAAAGCTTTTTCTAAGTATAAGATGCATCATCCAAAGGCTGATGTAGACCGTCTATACATACCCCCCGTAAAGAAGGTGGAAGAGGTCTTATTCAGCTAGAATTGTTGATACAAGACAACAACTATTGGCTTACTAACTTACATGGAAACAACAAATGACTGGATGATAAAATTAGTGAAACAACATGAAAACAGAAAGAAAAATATTCAATAATAAAAGAAGGCAGTAAATACAAACAACATTTACATTTAGTAGATTCTGTAGTAAATCAAAACAGAAGCCAAGAACCAACTATTGCAGCAAAAGATATGAAAAAAGAAAGCCAAGGATAAAGCCCTTGAACAGATGAAACAACGCTGGCAAGACAAACCTCTGCATGGCCAATATCCAGAACGTGCAAATAAACCCAATGTTGATAAAGTTAATACTCATCGATGGTTACGAGCATCTGGATTAAAGTCTGAAACTGAAGGCTTTATTCTTGCAGCGCAAGACCAGAGTCTTTTCACTCAGAATTTTCAGGCAAATATCATACATAATAATGTGGATCCAAAATGCAGGTTCTGTGACAAATACCAAGAAACAATAGACCATCTAATCTCAGGATGTTCTATACTTGCCCCAAATGAATATAAAATCGTCACGATAGAGTGGGGCAATACTTACACTGACAATGTGCAAACACTTTGGAAAATGTGTAAGCAAACACTGGTATGAACATCGGCCAGCGCCGGTTACAGAAATAGAAGATGTCACCATTCTATGGGATTATACCATCCACACAGACAGAAAAATTGAAGCAAATAGGCCGACATTATTGTCAAAAAACAGAAAGAAAAAACTTGCCTACTAATTGATATGGCTTGTCCAGCGGATTGTAACATAGCAACCAAGGAATTTGAAAAACTATCAAAATACAAAGACCTGGAAATTGAAATAGAAAATGTGGAAATTGAAAACAAGAATAATACCAGTGGTAATAGGTGCACTTGGAATTATAAAAAATGGAACAAAACAACACATTGAAAGAATCCCTGAAACCCCAGCTTAAGAGACATACAGAAAATTGTCTTATTAAGTACAGCACACACACTAAGGAGAACTTTGTCTATGTAACGCTAGCAACTTCATCGGAGATAAAAAAAAAAAAAAAAAAAAAAAAATTAACAAGAAATGTGGCCATAACAACACACCACGACCTGCCTTAGGTCTTTCCGCAGACTTGGTAGGTAGTGTGTCCATAGCAGAAATCGAATGATGATGATAGTAATAATAATAATTATTATTATTATTATTATTATTATTGTTTTTGTTTTTGTTATTAATATTATTATTATTTGGTGGTATTATTAAGAGAAAAAAACTGAGGTCTTCTTTATATTTTTTATTCGCTATGTCCTTCAACGTCATGGGTGATCATGGTTCTCCAAAACTACCTCTCTTTTCTTGCTGGCTTACGGTCATGTCTCCTTGAAACCCCGCTTCGCATACGATCACCTAAGTCATGCATAGACGAGACCGGTCAGTGGGTGACCGCTTGGGAATACCAAACGCTGTAAGATGGGATGTGTGGGTGGTGTAACGGTAACGACTCGGAATTGGAATCGAAGAATCCAGTTTCAGTCGGGTTTGTTATATTACTTTACGCGCAAATGCCATTGGGAAAGGTATGAATCCACCTCTCTTCGTGCTTTATTAAAACTAACATATAATAGCTACAAGACAATGCCACAAGAGCCACTGATCTGAAGATCAAGGGCATAGACAGAACAAAAGAAATAGCAATTGGTGATCGAAGAATCAAGCAACTACAGAAATCCGAAGTTGCATTGGAAGAGAAAAAGAAGGCTTCTAAACGCAAAACAAAGTATTAAGTGACAGGAAATGTTTCTTAGGAACAATGAAAAGAAAGTTGAACATTTATAACATATTATGTCTCGTATATGGCAGTGAATGCTGGGCAATCTCATTACAGACGAAGAAGAGATTTGGAACAATAGAAATCGGCTTATATAGAAGGATACTTTGTTAACAAATGGTACAGCCCAACATGCAAATCACAAATTGGAAATACCAAAATCAAACCAGCTCAACAATTTTAATATTTGCAAAGTGTTTTAACAGAGGAAAGGAAAGTGCGACAATGAAATCCTAACTGGGATTGTGATACCGAAATATGAATTGCAAAAGCTAAACAAAATATTAAATAAAGAGTTAAAATTCGTTAGGAACAAAGAGTGCTGAACAATTATGTATTATTAACCCTCCTACATGACAAAAAATCTCAAACAGTTCCGACGAAGATGAGATGTAAGAAATGTGGTTATACATAAGGATAATGAGAATTCCTCAAATGTAGCATGTGAGCAATGAGAAAGTTTTAAAGAAAATCGAAAGAAAAAGGTCATTGCCATACAGGAGAACCGATATTAACAATTAAGTACTCTTTTCTTTGTTTCTAACGATTTTTTTCCGTTTCTTAATAATATCTCTATCTATGAAAGAGCAGGATGTGTGTGTGTGTGTGTGTGTGTGTGTGTGTGTGTGTAACAAATGAACGGCCGCAATTTTCGACTGATTTGCACCGAAATTTACATCCACATGCTCCAAGTTAGAGGCAAGGCCGAGATCGACCTTGCATTTCCCAACTCCCATCGATAGTGGAAATAATCGATTTTTTCATGCTTCTACGGCAGTTTTCATGTAGTTTGCGGCCATTTTCTACTGGCCAGAGTGAGAGCCTATATCTGGCTGCCACGGATAGACAGGAAAATTCTATTGGCCAGCGTGAGAGACAACAGCTGACTGACACGAATGTTAACTAGCATGCTAGCATGCAAAAAAAAATCGATAGCTGCATTCGTCACAAGTGGGAAAAATTTAAATCTGCATGTCACTTTACTCCAATTGACTCATTCGCTTGCTTAAACTCAACGTTTATTCTGATTCCGCAGAACTGGGTTGGGTGTGAAAAATATTTGTTGTTAACATGCTTTTTTCATTCGGTTTTTCCAGTTACGAGTTCTTTTTTAAAGCTGATCGTTTTGTGTTCATTTTGTTTAGTTCTTTTTTCGTAACAGATTTAATATTTAGTATAGAGCTTAGAAAAAAAATCGCAGTGTGAGATAGGCAAGAAGTAAGGCATGTAGTAACATCAGCACGGCCAAGGGCACTCCTTTAAAGGCAAGGAAGGGCAAAAATATTTTAAGTCAAGTGATAGCGATTGCTGTATGAGTCGTACAATTTTTGAACCAAGCACGGGCAACGCCGGGACATGCTGCTAGTCTTTTATAATTGCAAAATTATTTTTTTCTTTTTGACATAAACATACATTTTTACAAAAGGCACCTCGAACTTAATACGCCATATTTATTTTCACATCAATGGAAAAGCTAAAAGGGACACTATAAAGCTGTTGGATTGGTAAAAAAAAAACTATCAGTTTCTAGATATTTTTTCCAGAGTGTTACCAGTTTGGGCGACGAATTATCTTGTAACCTGTGCAAGACTTCTCAGGACTTTGTTACGCATTGCTATCGTCATTAGTAACAAGGATTACGCACCACCTGTCTGTACTCACGTCAACTGTTTGGTCTTCATAAATGTTCAACGTGCGTCGATTATCAATTAATTTTTTCTGTTTCGTGATATTTAATAGGACTGCTTTATACCCACTCATATATTAGACGCCATATTTCGAGACTGTTATCAGTAACCAGATGGGAAATATATGGGTTATTGGTAGGAAGGTTCGACCGCTACTGCCATCAAAATCAATGTCGAGGACGACGGTAATAAAATAGGAAGAATTGCTTTTTGGATCGAGCCTCTGTATAAAGGGGGGGGGAAGTTGACTGTTAGATGCGTCAGAGGCACAAAGAAATCGGTACATGCTTATTGTTGATATTTAATTTGTCTAATTGGAGTTTTGTTTTTCCGTTGTAACTGATTACGGCCCAGTGCTTGTTTTGATAGCTTTCTCACAGGGCGACGTACAGGCGCACTTGGTCGCAATGCATGACAATTCTAATGCAGGGTCTGAGGTTGGGGATTTTTGCATGCGTAAATAATAGAAGAAAATTGTGGTTTTCTGAAAGTCCTACACACAGAAATATATTTAATGAAATACACACACACAAACACACACATAGACACAGAAATCCACACACAGAGAAAAATGTACACGGACACACATATAAACATATACCGCCATGTATAATCTATATATATATACAAATGCAGGTATTCACAACATGTACACATTAAAATTATCATATATACGCATATATAATCATATATGCACAAAGACAGGCTGACATATCTGCAAATGCTAATGCATACGCAATAATAGCCATAAAACATGCACTTGCATAAACATATACACGCACATATTAGCGCATGCCCAAACTAACACGTAGACATGATTATGTCCACAAAGTGGAAATAGCAAAACAAACATACACATTCAAGCATAAATACATATAGCATCTACATAGAGGTACTTTTACAATTCGAATCCTACTGAAAAGAAGCATATATTTTACACGACTAATATTATTTTCCAACATAATCTCATTCCTTGTCAATGCCCTTAATCCAGTAGGGAATAGTAGATTGAATACTGACTAATATTTCGGCTAAGAGCTACATGACAGGCTCCAAGATTATTGACCGATTCTTGTCCAGTCTCATCCAGCGAATATTTATAAAAAAAAAACAACACATTTCTAAAGTAGATAGGTACGTGTACCCGAGGATAGATAATTACGAAAGTAGACAGATAGATAGACAGACAGATAGATAGATAGATAGATAGATAGATAGATAGGGAATGGCCTAAAATATGTCTTGAGAGAAGAAACTAACACTTACAGTGAAGTGTCGATTTCTATGTCCACACTGTCTATATGTACAAATTTTTTGTCTCCAATATTGAATAATCATCTACCACAGAAGTAGCAAATCCTAATCTCTCTCTCTCTCTCTCTCTATCTATCTATCTATCTATCTATATATATATATATATATACACGTACGCACATACAGGGTGTATCAAAATAATTTTACAAACTTTGGGAGCGAGTTTCTCACATCGAAACAAGATTAAGTGTCCATATAAACATAGATCCGTAAATCCTTCATTTTTGAGTTATTTAGTTAAAAGTTTTGCCGTATGGGAGTTATGGTGTAACGGATGTCGGCTCAAATTCAGAATTCGGAGAGTCGAATTCGTTATATTCCAGCCGAATTCGTGAGATTCCAGTCGAATTCGTGAGATTCAATTACGCACAAAAACTCTTGAGAAAGGTATGAATCCATCTCCCTGCCTCTCAGACTGGGTTCTTTAGCCTTGGTTGGCAATCATTCTACCGCAGAAAGAAATGGCAACTCACTTCGGGAAAAATACCGAAAGATACATGATCGCCCAAGCGTGTTTCCCGTATGGCACTTAAATCACTGACAGTGTTTACGGTATACGCTGTCAAATGTACAATCCAAAAAATATTTTTTAAAAATTTGGGGGAGGTTTCCTCACACTAAAACAAGGTAATATGTTCATATAAACGTATGTCCAAAAGGCCATCGATGTACCTCAAATCAGCAATCCATAACACATATTCAAAATGTCCTCCGCTTGCTTCTACACACTCATGCACCCGATGGATTATTGACTAGCGAACCATTTGAAATACTCCAACACTGTATCGAATGGTTTCGCAGGCCCCAGTGACATGCTGATGAAACTTCTCTGCATTATTTATTTCTGCTGCATAAACCAAATGTTTTAGGTGGGCCTACAGTATTGAGGTCAGGGGAACGTGCAGACCATAGAACCGGTTCTCCCCTGCCTATCCATCTTTCATCTATCCATCTTAGATGTCAGCCCGTGCATCACGAACAAAGTAACTAATATGTCCTGGAGCCCTATCATGCATGAACCACATGCGTCTTCGTATTAGCAGGGGTACATCCTCTTGCAAGTCTGGATGTGTGTTCGAAATTGTTGACCATGTTCACCATAGACAATGAATATAGAATACAGCGTAGTACGTAATCTGTTCAATGAAACAACGTTAAAGATTAACACTCACGAGTCAGACACTCTACTGAATCTGACTATATCGCCAATACCACCAGCAGCTGTTCCGTAATTCTTCAGTCTTCGATATCAAAGGTTGGCAGTGATATTAACCCCCCACCCACACACACACACCGAAAGGTTACATGTAGCACAAGGCCGGAATTAAAGTGGGATCTCCGAGCCCGTAGGCTCTGCCAAAAATATCCCCTATTCGAACGCGTATAAACGGGTTCAGGGGCAGTCAATCTCCCCGAACGAGACTTCGGCGGAGCCTCGTCCGGGTTATCAAAGGCTGGTAGTGCATATGCGGGAAAAACATGGCCGCCTTTATACACGTCGCATTGAATATTTTGAGCCTTCTGATTGCTTAACCCTTCTATTGTTGAACTATAAAATGAGTCAGCTCATTTTGGCTGGCTCACTAGTACACCAGGATACACAAAAATTCCAATAGAAATAAGGTCCCTGTAGGCAGCTCCTACAAGACGTTCTAGGAGAACATATGAAACTACCAGACAGTCACCTATAATTCCAGACCAAACATTAATCGTAAACTGATGCTGGTGTCTATTTTGTTATTTTATCTCTTCGAAATGTTGCCTCACCCGTAAACAAGACAGAAGAGACAAACAACGAATCGGCAGTATCTACAATAAACCATCGACAAAAGTGTTCCCTTGCCGAGTGATCAGAGGGCGAAAGAACTGCAACCATTACAAATAATAGAGATACAGCAGCCTCACTTGAAATACCCCCCCATGCGGTACTATGCGATGTACGACATTCTAGGGTGACTTGACGTGTGCTGATACCTGAATCGTTTCTGAGAGTCTGTACAATGTGTTCTTCGTGGTCAGGTGTACGATCTTCCTTGATCCATAGTTTGTGGTGCCACAGAACCTGTCTGAGCAACGCGACGATAAACAGCAGCAAAGTTTGGATGACTCGTCTCCCTTCAGTTTTGAAACACAATATGATACAGCCGTGCAGCCTCGCGTTCATAACCATTCGTACGGCCATATATAAAAATCATATCTGCCTGATCACGGCATGAATAATCTGGTATTGTAAAACGGAATATTTCTGAGTTAACTCACTACTACACACCATAAACGATGAAGACAGACTAGGCACAATGTACACGAATGACAATTGTAACCTAGCCTCATGGCAACACAGTGGCATCTACTATAAACATTTTCAACAATCGAGGATTTGCGGAGATATGATTATATGGACATTTATCTTTGTTTTGTTGTGAGGAACACGACACAAATATTTGCAAAAGTATTTTTAATATAGCCTATACATACATACATACATACACACAGGGTGTATCAAAGATAATTTAAAAACTATATAGGGTGTATCAAAATAAAAACTATATATATATATATATATATATATATATATATATATATATATGTATATAATTTATGTTTATATATATATATATATATATATATATATATATATATATATATATATATATATATATATATATATATATATATATATATATATATATATTTATATATATAGTAGCTGGGGCAACTCGAAGCGGTGTAATGGTTGGCAAGCTTGTCTCTCAAGAAAAATTACGACAGAGTAGTGAGTTCGATCCTCACGGCTGGATAACCCCTATTTTCGGCCTTGTGCCACATCTAAGCTACGCTTGGAAAATCACTATATATATAATAGCTGACCAATCGTATTCGAGGATACCTGTCTACTAGGGCAGCTAGCTAATCTCTATTGCAGACTCTGGCTCAGGCACATTTTGTGTTTGTTCAACACCCACAGAGCCAACCACAGAGTTTATACTGTAACGATGCTGAGCAGACCTTAGTTACACTTTCTGGGAGAGAGCGTTTTCTAGCGTGATTAACAATCTGAACAAGGCCAGCACACTCAAAACCTCGGTCACGATGACTTGTGACTTCGTGCTAGCACAGCTATCGACGGCCCCAAATGTCCTGTCTGCTCAATTTCACTCACAAGGCTTGGGTCAACCCGTGGTATGGTTTTCAGGCACTTTTCAAAAGTGTCGCACGCTGGGATCGTCCCCACTCCCGAGCGATAACATATAGATATAGGGTGTATCAAAAGTGCATTTACAATCTTTGGGGGCGTGTTCATCACACCAAAAAAGGACAAAAATCTATATAAACATACGTCCACAAATCCTTCGTTTTTGAGTTTACAGTTGAGAGAGTTAAAATCAAGAACCCACCCTCCAAAGTTTGTAAAAATATTTCTGGATTGTATCTTGGATTGTACATTGTTATATTCCGTCCTAAGAGAAAATATACTTAACACCAGGTGGATAATAGAATAAAGGTTTATTGTACACAACACGGTACAGTTATACACACTGGTCAATCTAGTAATGAGAGCCACCAATTGGAAGGTTGGACGTCCTTGCGTCATCTCTCTCACGGTTCTCTCACGTCTACCCCGTCTCTCGTAGACAGTCGACTATATAGGTACTTATTACCTATACTGTAATTATTCATGGGGGTACAGGGTTATTCCATTACATCATACATTTAACAGCATCTACTGTAAAATTTAACAGCATCTACTGTAAAATTTAACAGCATCTACTGTAAAATTTAAACTTAATAACGCAAAAATTAATTAAATTACTTCAGTAACTTTTCTTTTTTAGTAATTTTCATAAAAAATATATATTTTTAAATCTGTTAAAAGCCATGTTTTTACTTAATTTCAAAGAATAAATTTTTGTAGCATTTAATGTTTATATTAGTTATAAGCAGAAGACTTCGGAGAAAAAAATATTTAAAAATCACCAATATTTTTTATCAAACAAAACCCCGAATTAGAGAAAATTTACTCTGACTCTTAAAATAAAAAAAATGTAATGAAATTAAGAGAGTATTTAATTAGAAAATGTTTTAATTGCATTTATGAGTAAGATATATTATGGAGATTATTTTCTTAAGTAAAATTATATTTTGATGAATAATAAATTTCTAGAATGGTTTTCATTCTTTTTATTTTCATTATAATATTTTATAAAGTTTTGAATGTTTTAAAATTTTGTATTAATTTGTAGCGGTTAGGCGATATTTTTATTAAGGAAAAAACTATATTTACATAAATGTAAATGGCAATGGTGATATTAACCCTTATCTTTACAAGGAAACCTTTTGGTATTCATTGACCTGGCAGCCAGTAATGTTTTATGCTGTAATTTATATAAACTTTCTCGTAAAACACGTTTTTATGAAAGTAGTTTTCTCAAGTTCAGTAGCTTTTATCGCTCTTTCCAGTATTGAGGGAAGAAGTCCTTCCGAACCTTTTATTTGAAGTGGCGTGGTAAGTTAAATCTTGATTATGCCATTATTTTCTCTTCGACTTAATATCCTAAACATTTTAGATGATATTGCTGTTGGTAGTCCTCACGTGATGCGGTTTCTGCTATTTGATACAGTTCTTTGTTTGTGATTCTGTAGCGCCAGTCCATAATGTTCCAAGAATGTTTATCTCTGACAAAGAAGGATTATTTAACCTGGGCCGCATTCGCTCAAAGCCTTTTTTTCACTATTGATCTGAGGAAGCGCTTGTATACAGCTGACAGTTTAGCTGTTTCTGAACGGGATTGTTACCATGCATGATATCCGTATGAAAGTCTACATCTGTCTAGGTTATTTAGGTACATGAGGTTGATTTTTTTGACTTAATAGCAAGTTGTGGCGTTGTGCGAAACTACCTCTAGTGCATATGTATGTCAAAGAAACTTCGTCCACTACAGATTAATGATGAGACCTATAAAAATGTCATTCGGGCTCGATAGTTGATCACTTACAAAGATATTTCTTTCAAGTAAGAGTGATCAAGATTATCCGGCACTAATTTTGTAATCGGCCCTCGATAACAAGAAGGTTGGTGTAACACAATCTTAGAACCTGTTTTCATTTAGGCCAATCTCATTTGAGATCCTTTTTAGTATGACGCTAGATGTTTGACATTTGATTTCATTGTTCAATATTCATAGTCTCATTATTACCATGAAAATATTTTCCTGACTTCCTTTGATATTACAGGTCAATAAAATTCATGTGTAATGATGAAAAACGATTTCCGTTTTGATTCAGTGAAGCCACTGGGTATTTTTTTTATATCTTGTTAGAAAAAATAACTTTTGAATGGAACAAAGCATTCGAACTGCAATCTATTCACTGTCATGGAATCCAATACATTATTTACACTGTGCCATGTGTCCTCAAGGACACAATGGCACAGTGGTTAGATTCAGTGACAGGACCCAAAGAGTGTGAGTTCAATACCCACTTAAGGCAGGGGATAACTTTCGGAGGGAAATTAACAGGAGATAACTGACATCCATTAAACATGGCACGTGGAATTAGAACAGTCTACCCCAGTGAGCGAAATAAAGGGTTCAGTTCGTCATTCCAACCACCTGAAGAAGACTGTAGCATACAACGGCCGAAACGTTGTAATAAATAAGGTGACAAAGATGAGGACAATAGTCCGAATAATGTAAATAATGTACATAATACCTCATCTCAGAAATATATACAGATACTGAGGAAGTCCAATACCATCATGGAACAAAACATTCGAACCACAATCTATTCACTGACAAGGAATCCCATGCCATCATGAAACAAAACATACTAGCCGCAATCTATTCACTGACAGGGAATCCCATGCCATCATGGAACAAAACATTCGGTCAGTAATCTATACACTGACAAGGAATCCCATGCCATCATGGAACAAAACATTCGAACCGCAATCTCTTTACTGAGAGGGAATCCCATGCTATCATGGAACAAATCATTCGAACCGCAATCTCTTTACTGAGAGGGAATCCCATGCTATCATGGAACAAATCATTCGAACCGCAATCTCTTTACTGAGAGGGAATCCCATGCTATCATGGAACAAATCATTCGAACCGCAATCTCTTTACTGAGAGGGAATCCCATGCTATCATGGAACAAATCATTCGAACCGTCACTCTAAAAGGCAGTCAAATGTTTAAATTGTAACCGACGTTCAATTCTGTAAATTCAAGTAAGATATATCATCTTAGTTGGCGCGTGGCAGGTTAGTTGATTATGTCAGGTTTTACAAAGAATTGATCCAGATATTATCTGTGTGCAGAGATGATCCCAGCGTGTAGCATTGTTGAAAAGTTTATGAATGCTATACAATCCGTTGATCCAATCATTTTCAATGATATTCTTTAGACGAAACGATCCGTCGTCATTTGTGCTAATGGTCGTACAGAATGTCTTAAATCTTGGCTGGCAATCTATCTAACGATAATGAGTCGATAAAAAATACCTACCTCCCAGCAACCTGGCCATTATTGGATCAAGTTCGATTTAAAAAATAAAGTTATATCAGACGAGCATTGGTCAGAGGCGAAGTATTAGTTTTTTTTTATCTTTTCTTAATTTCTACATTTTTTTTCATGTTCCACAGATGACTGATTGTACGAGTTATAAAAACATACTAAAAATTCACTTTTAAGATTTCTCTAATATTTGGTAAACGATAACGCTGGGAACTTTTGTTAAAAAAAAGGAATAAAAATCTGCAAAGAAATCTGTCTTCAAATTACAAATTGTTATGTTTGAAAATTTGATACGAGTTTCCGATTTAAAGAAAAAAAAATGGTCAAAGAAACAAGATCAATTTGAAGTTATATGTTAGGTTCGAATGAATCAAAATCTCCAAGCGTGGACAGCAGGATATGATGTAATTATTAACGTGATATTTTGACGAATCGGCTAAAGAAATTAGTGAAAGCTCAGGGACTGTGCTTTTGGAGTGAGGGCGGGATCAAATATCAGGAGGTGAAGTACAAATACACGGACATTATTATTCTCGAGATCTCTAGGTTCGTGACTGTGCCGATGGCCCGTGTCATAGGCAGGTTTTTCACCCAACCACACGAGACTGTAACGTTTGCTTCTCTCAATTATTTTATCATTACAACACGGAAACATCTCTAAATGAATTGGACGCCGCTTCGAGTTAATAACGTTGGTGATTTAACGTGAAATGAAGAGTTTAATAACGGATATAGAGAAATATTCGATACTGTTTACAAAAGAGTAAACAATGATTAATGAAAAGGTTAACTTTTTTGTTTGGATCGCTGAGTCGATTAGTTTTGTATTACGTTCTAATGTTTTTTTTTTTCCATTTTTTTTCTGATGATTTTTGAAGAATATCTGGTCTGAATTATTATTTCCTTTTCTGATAGTTTGTTTATTTTCATTTCTATTTGATTAACATGTTGTCTCATTTAAGATTTACATTCACGCTGTGCCTTCTTTACTCACGCTTTTTTTGTTTATTTTTATATTTATTCAACTAAAAAGATACATTGAGTGAGCCTCTCTATGATATGCTGAGTCTCTCTTTCTTTCTTTCTTTTCGAGGCTTACGGCCATAGCACGTCGATACTCGTACGACCACTGAAGTTAAGCAACTTCCGGCCTGGTCAATACTTAGATAGATGACCGCTTGGGAATAACAGGTATTCTAAGCTTCGATGTGCGGGTGGTGGAGCTTAAGTTCCAGTCGGATTCGTTATATTTATTCTCTTACGCGAAATTACATTTGGGGAAGGTATGAATCCATCTCTTATCCACTCCAGGTATGGGTTAAATAGTAGGACTTTTAATAATAAATCATTATTAACTTTAATATTTTCTGGTTTTAAATCACCTGCAAAATGTTGATAGAAAAATGCAAAATACAAGTCAATCAATCTTATTTTTTTCATTTCTTTTAGTAACTATTATTTTCTTTCTTTTTCTTTTTCTTTCCTTTTCTTTCTTTTAATACTGTTATTGTTTCTTTTTTTTGTTTTATCCTTTCTTTCCTTTCTTCTTTTTATTCTGTTATTTATTCTTTCTTTCTTTCTTTCTTTCATTCTCATCGTATCTTTTACCTATTTATCATTTAAATCATACCATTCCTTTTCTTTCACTATTGTTCTCTTCTTGTGTCTTTCCTTTTGATTATTCATTCTTTCTCTCTTTTTATTCTTTCTTTCTTTCCTTATTTCTTTTTATTCTGTTATTCTTTCTTCCTTTCTTTGTTTCTTTCTCATCGTGTCTTTTTCTATTTTTCATTTAAATCATACTATTTTTTTCCCTTTTCGCTATCATTCTCGTATTGTTTCTTTCCTTTTGATTATTCATTCTTTCTCTCTTTTTATTCTTTCTTTCTTTTTTCATTCATTCTTACTTTCTTTCTTTTTATTCTGTTATTCTTTTTTCCTTTCTTTTTTCTTTCTCATCGTGTCTTTTTTCTATTTTTCATTTAAATCTTACCTTCTCGGCACATCTTCCTTCCTTCCTTCCTTCTTTCCTTTCGCTATCATCTCTAATTGATTCTCTCCTTTTTGGTCAACGTCGCCTCCATTTTGTCCCTTGCATATTTTTCTTTCGCTCTTTGTTTCTTTTGCTATCATTTTCCTTTTTCTTTTACTTGATCTTCTTCTTTGCTCGATCCTTGCATATTTCTTTCTATTTTCAATGTATCTAATATGTTTCTTTTTTTTTTCATGGACATACCGTTTCCTGATTCAACACGTCTTTTTTAATATCTTTTGTCTCTTTTTTCTTCAAACAATTCGTTTCCCCAGTCTTTACTTCCTTCTTTCTTTCCTTTCATTCGCTATGATCATTCTCTTTCCTTTTGTTCTTTGCGTATTCCCTTCTTTCATTCGTTCTATTTTTTACTAATAACTTTACTTTTTCTCTCATTTCCTCCGCTTCTTTGTACGTTCCTTGTATCTTTTTTTCTTTTCCCACCATATCTAATATTATTCGTTTTTCTCCATCTCCATAGCTGATTTCTTTCTTTCTTTGTTTCTTTCTTTCTTATTATATCTTCAATCTATTTTCTTTAAATCCTATCATTTCATCAGTCGTCCTCCATTGCTTCCCTCAGTCCTTCCTCCAGCTATCACCTTTTATATTTCCTTTTAGGTTGTTCTCCATTTCTTTTTCTTCCTTTCATTGATTCTTTCTTTTGCTACTCACCGTCTTTCTCTCTTACTTCCTCGTCTTTGTTCCTTATATCACTCTCTCTTTCTTTCTTTCTTTTCCCACTCTATCTAATAGTCTCTTTTTTCTTTTCATCACCACATCGCTTTGTTAGTTGACCCATCTTTCTTTCTTCCTTTCTTTCTTTCTTTCTTTCTTTCTTTCTTTCTTTACTATGTATCTTTTTTCTTCTAAATCATACTTTTTCGTCGTTCGTTCGTACGTTCGTTCGTTTGTTCTTTCGCTCCTTCCTTCCTTCCTTCCTCCCTTCCTTCCTTCCTTCCTTCCTTTTAGTTTCATCTCCGTCCGTATTTCTATCTTTCACTGTTTCTTTGATTGAAATTAGCATATTTCTTCCTTTCTTTTTCCACTGCATCAAATATTTTCCTTTTCATAATCACACCGTTACGTTACACGACCTTTCTTTCTTTCTTTCTTTCTTTCTTTCTTTCTTTCTTTCCTTCCTTTATTTTCTTTCTTTCTTTCTTCCTTCCTTTATTTTTTTTCTTTCTTTCTTGCTTCCTATTCTACTGCTCCTTGAATCTCTCTTTTTTCACAACATATAATGTTTTTCTCTTTTCCGTTCCACAGTATCGTTTCGTCACTAGACATTCTTTCTTTCTTTCTTTCTTTCTTTCTTTCTTTCTTTCTTTCTTTCTTTCTTTCTTTCTTTCCTTCCTTCCTTCCTTCCTTCATTGTTTATTTATTTATTTTGCTTTCTTTATCGTCTCTCTTCATTTCTCCATTGCATCAGTCTTTCTTCGTTTATTTTACCTTTGCTCTATTTTTCATTATTTGTGACCTCGTTAAATATGTCCTTCTTTCATTTCCTTTCCTTCATGTCTTTTGTTTCGTTTCCTATTCAAATATTCTTTCTCCACTTCTTTAATTTCCCCCATTCGTTGTATTCTCATCCTTTTTACATAATTCCATGAGTGAACGCACAGCGAAAAATTCAAAAACAAAATCTCGTTTACTTCTTTCCTGTTCCCGTCGATACGTGAACATCTCCTGGAGATGAGAATTAAAACATACAATAATATTTTGCGTTCAAACGATAGGAAATTAATTCAATGCAATAACAACAACGATGCTTTTCTTGTACAAATCCCAACACGTTCTATTGGCAATGATTAGGCGTTTGTATGTAAAGTTGTAGCCTAATGGTTAGTATTATATTCTAATAATCAGAAGGAGGTCTCCGTTGGCAAAATATCTTAATCACAATTGAGCCAAAATCAAAAATAGACTATTTTAAACATAAAAAAAGATATTAAAGCAAGCATGGCTAACCTTTTCCGATCAGTGGGCCGTATGAGTTATGGTTCAACATGAAGGTGGACCGGACTAGTAAAAAATAACTGAAGACAACGAAGAATTGTCTTCAATCATTTTTTTTTATTTTAAAAGAACTAGAATTATGATAGAAGATAACGAATGACACTCCATTTAAACTTTTGAAAATAATGGAAAGCAAGAAGAGGGAAGTGAGTTCCATATTGTGTTTTAGCCATTTTCAGTAAAGATAGCAGTAAGGAGAAAAGTTGGTTTTTTTTTCATTAGCGAAAAGATTATTTTCTCTAAATTAAAGGATTGATATTTTTGCTCTAATATTATCACTGAGGAGAGTCTAATTAACAAACGCTACTGTGTGTGATTTGTTTCTATTCTATTTGAAAATACAAAAAATAATATATTTAAGATAAATATTTCTTCTCCGGATAAAATAAAATATAATGAAAGTTTCCTGTTTCTAAACTAAACAATGTTTATGCGTATGATCTTCCGCAGTGAAAATGTCCAACAGTTTAAAATACGGACAACGTTGCTGTCAAGAAAATGTTACAAAAATTAAAAAATATTGTACGTAATTGGTGTTTCTATTTTTGGTTATGTATGAGAGAATGTGTGTGGGAACAAGTGAGCTTGAAAGAAC